GGGGGGGCTGACAGAAGCTGATGACGTGTCTGCTAAAATCTAGCAGACTTTAATTAGCGTTGGTTTGTGTCAATTTGAAAGTGGATGCTGTAGTTAATCTTTACTACAAATGTTATTTGTTTCAATTATAGAGCGAGCGTATATTATCGCCTTACCTCTCGAGTCAGTAGAAAATAATGGGAAACTAACGTCTTTATAATTTCGTCGAGAACTGCTTGACTAAAGAACGATTTCAGAATCTAGAATAAAAGGAAGCACAAGGTTGGTTAGAACGTCGGCCTTTACCTCGTCTCATGTGATCTGATTATAATTTCATCCCAGAAAGGAGAGTGCCTATAATTTGACTCAGAGACAGATCTAGCCTCATCTGCAAGGAGGGGTGCAGGTTTTCCATGGGGTGGTGCATGAGGGAGCCTTACTGCCCACTCTCCTCTGCAGTCTGCAACGCTACTAGCCCAACATTACCGTTATTTGAGATGGCTGAATCTGCATGTTCGCCGTTCTGTTACGTTTTACATAATTACATTATCTTTTGTTTATAAAGTTTATATCGGCTTTTTATCACGTGTGCGTGACTGGACAGTTGCTGTAGCACAGTACAGTAAATTTGCTTGTCGAAGTACAGTATATTTGACAAATATGGCTGTGTAACAACCTGGACATATTTACATATTTAACCATGATATTTAACAAAAGCATTGCGAGTATTTTCTCGTGAGCTCACAAATCAATTAAATCGCTCCAAGAAATCGACACGCGCTAACAGTAGAAGTTCCGCTGATCGCTTTTCGAAAAGCAGAAAATGTACGGTCAAGCAAGTTTTTTTTTTTTGTGGTGCTGGACTTCTCTAGAGGGATGCTTGACTGCCTAGACACCACTAGGTAGGAGGGCGCACCCCCTGCACCCCACAGTAGATCCGCTCCCCTGAATTTTGACTCTACCAAACACTCCGCTTCCATTTGGTGATGTCAAGGGAGCAATAAGGGATGACTCTTTGTGGACCTCTAGAGAGAAAAGTTTAGAGATGATCGAACCATCTGGTATAAATAAAGGTATTATAAGTAAATTAGTTAATCTTACTTGATGTGCTTTTAAGATAGCTTGATCAATGGAGTCTAAAAATATCAAGCAATAAAAATATTAAAATGTAAAAATAAATCACGAGGAGTTAAAAGGCAAAAATTCTGAAATCTAACCTGTTGTCGTGTTTGGCGGCCTGTAGCTTTCACATTTTGTAATATTTGTCATCAAATTGCAACAATGGATGATAAACTTTTCAAAGACCAAATCCGTTCCACGTTTTGTGAATACATAAAATGCAGAGAACTGCAGCATATCTTGAAGCAGGGGAATACAGGACATCGGATGATATTCTTGGGTACTTAGGAGCTATAGAAGAGTAGAATATAGAGTAAATGTTTTGCAACCAGGGTGCGATACTGACTCGTTCCCAGTCGTCTCTGTAAGCACGCGCGAATCGGAAAGCGCGCGCAGGGGTGGAAGGGAAAGGAGAAACGTTTCGCGTGTGCTCACAGAGACGACTGGGAACAAGTCAGGGTGTGATAATGGATGACTCCATATAGTTCACCATATAACCATTCCACATCGTCCACATGAAATCAAACGCACTTGACGCCAACTAATTAAAATGAAATTCAAATGTAATACCACTTATTAATCATCCCAAAACTACGCAACATAATGCGCAGACAAGCAAAAGTATACACCTTCGTACGTCGTCGTAATCATAGAGACCTTACGATTTAGGCGGCAACGCGACGGCAACGAATACAATAGATCATTGAAAAGAATTGAGTAATTACAATATATGAATAATTTAGACATTCTCCTCGGTCTGTTTACGACGCCAAATCACAGATTTTCACGTCTTCATACAACGACTGCATTCCAAGCCACAACAAGTGCAACTTCAAACTGGGTTTAGTAGAACTCTTCCCAAACACAAAACCCATGTCTTCAACTTCTAAGACTGTATTAAATTCATACAATTGATAATATACGACGAATTATCTTTACTACCATTTATTTGAAGGAGTTTGTTTTGGCCGTCGCGTTGCCGTCCTAAAATCGTAAGGTCTCTTATAATGGAGTCAGGCAAACGGGCAATTAAATCTAGATCAGCGTGTATAAATAAAATTTCTATCTATCTACTTGTCTACAGTAATGACTTTATTTCAAAGACTAAGTAGACATTGAATATTGAGTTTGTACTAGAGCAAGTATGGCTATAAGCATTGGCGTACCAGTCAGGCACGACTAAAAGTCTTGAATTATGGCATCCTGACAACGTTTCCATAGAAGAAAATGATAAAGTATATATATAATGGATTAAAAAAAATATTAGTAGTATATAGTCATACCAATTTTGAGAGACAGGCAATCAGTTTCTCAAGCAAAGCAACCATTTGTTGATTCGTCAGTAATTTCTGGCCTGTAAACACGAAATTAACTATTAAAGTTATAATTTATTATGTTACGAGTATTAAATGCTAAAGCCTAGTTCTCATTCATCGCAATCTGTCACCGACGATCGGCGACGCTTATCGCCGATACTCGCCGAGCGCGAATGCACGAAAGTTCTCATACATCGGTGATCGTCGCAGATGACAGCCGATGTGTTTCGAAATTTCCCAAATTTCCCACAAAATGGGCCCATTCAACGTAAAGTTCATGATTTCTGTCAAACTTCAGTTGATTATTTCCTTGCTTGTTGAGGAAAAAACAACTTTTACTCATTTCTCATAGATTTTTTAAGCAGGTGGCAGTCGGCGATGGTCGCAAGAAACAAACTTTTTTGTTTCCTGCGATGTCATCGCCGATGGTCGGCGACGATTACGGACAGTCGGCGATATAATTTTTGATGTGTTCTCATAAATGGCAAGCGGTCGCCGACGTCGCAAAGCTCCCATCGCCGACGGTTTGCGATGAATGAGAACTAGGCTTAATGAAAATGACTTACGCATGTCCGCCAATTGTCTTGTAGCTTCCAAGCACTTTTTCATGAATGTCTAAATATATAAGAAAAAACAATGAAGTTACTAAAATCGACGAGAAATTTATTATCTCAATTTGTTTACTATATATTCGGGCTAACAACAGTTACCTAGTCAAGTTTATTTAATCTATGGACAGGGCCGCCGAGAGGTTGGCGGGGGGTCCGGGGCAAATTTTTTTTAGGGGCCCCTATTTCAAAATTTTTTCGGGAGAAAAAATTTTTCCGGACGAATACGTTGCAATTGCTTTCCAGGGACTTTATCTCAATTTTTCATACCAAATTTCGGTACTATAGCCCAAAAAACAAATATCTTGCCCTTTGCGCGGAAATATTTAACCCACAAAAATGACTGGGGCCCAACAAAAAATTTCCAGGGGCCCCCAGCACCTCGAGGCCTGGGGCAATTTGCCCCCCCCCCTGCCCCCCTCTCGGCGGCCCTGTCTATGGATATTAAACAATTGTTGAATGAGGTCGAGTAGGATATAAGGAATTATTAAGGCCGAGATTTATGAAGCCGAAGGCTGAGGAACACAAACCGAGGCCTTAATAATTCCTCATATCCTGCGAGAACCGAATTCAATAATTGTTTTACTATTTATTTGTATATATTTCGGACTCGAACCAAACGGGGTCAAATTGTTTTTCAATATACCACGAAATTACGTCAAACGTGGTATATTTGTTTTCAATATTCCACGGTGATGTCGTAACTCCAAATTTGAGCAACTACCGAACAGATGTGATGATTGCACCGACAGCTCTTTGCCAATCAAAACTCTTGAATTATTTTCAATAAATAATAAAAGACTTATCTTCTGCAACCAAATTACTTATCCAATGTAATCCAAACAATTCTAATCTTATAACTACTGAGCAAGGTAATAAATTTATCACTTTAACGGCCGTATTCTAAAAGCTCACTCACACTCAATGAGTGGAGGTTCAATCTGAGGTTCTCTTGAGTGTCAGTGCTGTTTTTGTGTAGCTGGAGGGTTAGTGTCATACCTTACTATGTGACTACTCACCCTC